ATTATTATTATTATTATTATTATTACTATTATTATTATTCTTAATATCAGTATTAATATCATTGTTGTGGTTATTACTATTATTATTATTGTTATTTTTATTATTATATTTACTATTATTTTTGATACTAATGTTGTCTTTATTATATGATTATAATTATTCTTACCATTACTATCATTAACATCAAGCATTACAGAGAATAATAAGACACTAAAAAGTTCTACTCTTACAGAACATTTTTTTAAAATAGTGCCTCAATCAAGAATGATTCTTTATAGATGAAATGATTTAAATAAGGTTTTTCTAATTTAAATTTTCAACTGATTTTTATATTACTTGACTACCTGACCAAAGTTTAGTCTTCTGCAATCTTTCCAACAGTATGCCTGAATATTGTTTTCGCAATGGTTAAATGACTGGTGTGTTCTCCCCGCTTAAAAACTGCTTTTTAACAAAATTTGTAGTCAGTGGATTATTTCGTTTAATCAGCAAATAGTTTTTAGAAACAATTCGGCAAAAAATCTGTTTTTCTTTTAACCTTTTGGAATAATCAACTTTGTTGCAACATAAAATGGCAAATTCCTGGACTTTTCAGTAAAGTAACTTATCAAATATTTAGCTGTAATTTGTTTTCAGCATACTCGAAACAGGCTGTACAAGAAGCCTCTTCAGATACTAAAAGTGATTTAAACAAAAGACAGTATTATCGTAACAGTGACTGACACCGTCCTTAGCGTTACAAATTTTTCTATTAGAAAGTCGTTACCACAGTAGTCCTAAGAGCTTTACTTGTTCTAGTAAACAGCATAAAATGATTTTTTTGACTTTAAGTTTTATCACCCCAAAAAAATACACAAAACCTTCATGACCCGCGGAATGTACAAGTCGAATTTGCAAAAGGAGTTTTATTGACACAACAAAAAGGTAGTAACAGAAAAACTAATGATAGAATGTAGAATAATAAATAACCGTTAAAAAGAATAGAGAAACCCTTTTTGGGCCTCTAGCAGACAAAGGTCGGACACACTCACCGAAGGCTAGGAGTTTACAATTATCTTGAGGCAAGAATAATCACCTGTAAGACAGAGTATATGCATCCGGGCGACAATATAACATCTCCCTCTAGGGAGAAAAGAGAGAATAAAAGAAATATGTTAAAGAAATAAAAGTAGCAACAAGTTCTCTAGGTGAAGAGTGCCACTGCAATCAGTGATGCGGGTTCGCATCGTTTGGATTGAACTCAACCTTCATCTCAATAAGCTTGCTGTACTTATAGTAGTTTTGTGTTTAATGAATAAAATTGAACATTTTTAAGGTAAGACCACTCGGTAGGCCTAAACGAACGATAAGTACGAAAATGTGGATCAACAGTTGATAACAATCCTGGACAACTTGCCCCGTGGTTTGTAATCCGCGTTTCCTGCAGGGTTTCACTTTCTTGTGCCCGAGTTCGTATCTGGTTAGCGTGTCTTACAGCTTGCTGTCCAGATGTGTAAGTACTTCGCACAACACTTTCCCTCTCCTGCGCTTGATGACAGCAGCAATCCATTTCTGTGAAGTATTATATAGACGAGCATATACAGCGTTATGCACTTGAAATTCTCGAAGTCTGGCTCTATGAGTCCGGTTGAAGTAAAAAGAGGAGTCAACTGTTGTTGTCGCAACTACCGGCACTCTCTTTGGAGGTTAGCACGACCCTTAATGTTTCCTAAACAAGTGTAGTAACGAGCTGAGAAAAAACCAAGGAGAATTAAAAACTTTAAACAGAAAGCTGTTTGAAATTAATACAGAGAGAGATTCAAAGTAACCTAAGAAAGCTGCACAATGGGCACGATAAGGAAAGATGATTGATCACTATTCTTGGAATGTCGATCTCGCAAGATTCTTTGCTCTTATTTGCCTTGCTCTGGTGATCTCGCAAGACTCCTTACTCCTATTTGCCCTACTGCCTTACTCTGGCAAGGCAAACAAGATGTGACAACGATGTTCTAGTATGGCTTCCGGGAGCGTCCCCTTAGCGTCATATCTGGTTCGTCACCGACTTTGGTTCTTGAACCCATTTCGCGTGCCATCAGGTTGCTCCAAACC